TCATCTCACTACCAGCATATTATCCCCTTCCTTTCCAACCACTTTGCAAGTGTCTCAGTACCTTGACCATCTCGCTACCAGCATTTGCATGTCCCCTTCCTTTCCAACCACTTCACTGCAAGTGTCTCAGTACCTTGACCATACCTTCACTACCAGCATATGTCCCCTTCCTTTCCAGACCATAATATTTGACTGTCAATTACTTGGTCATGCAACAGTACACCCAAATTAAATTCACAGACAGATATAGCTCTATTTTTTTAGTATATAAGGCAAAAAGGCCAAATGTTATTAATAAAACATAAGAAATAAAATTTTCTGGACAAACTAATTACCCCTGAAATGACCTATTTTGGTTATCGTCTTTTTTGCTATAATTTTTTGGGAAATAAAGAAACAAACTGGTATTGAGGTGGTTAAGGTGTGTTTAACCTTTGAAAGTCACACACTAAAGCCAAGTGTTTCAGTTATTAATGGAATAGAGTTCCCCCGGAGGATGAAGTTGCACTGCACTAAGACTGAATAATGTGCAATGAGGAGATGTCAAAGATAACTTACAGAAACAGGATCCTTTTACAGCCACACACCCAAAAACAAACTGCATATTTTTCTTCCCAAATGGAGCATCCAAATAAGAGATTAATATATTTTTTTTAACTATGATTTTAATTGAGTTTTCCATATGTGCAGAATTACAAACAGTACAAATACAAAAGACAAAAGACAAAAAATTGTATCACAATCCAGACCATCATAGAAAATGATGAACTAGGTCTAGATATATACACGTCCATCAGTAATACCACAATCAAATATACAATGAAAGTGTCACTAAACCCACATCATAAAAAAAACTATCCATAAATGCAGTATTACATATGGTTCATACTCATTCATTCACTGTGGGATTAATTTTCTGTATTCTCCAAAAAACCTGGTTGATTCTTCTGTTCTCTATCTTCCTATTCTGTCCATGTCCCCAATGCAGTTGGGGATTTTGCAGAGCAGTGTTGGAAGCTACTGCACTTGTTCAGTTTTCAGTGAGTTTCTATGCTGAGCATTTCCTCCTCATTTGATCTGAGCAGCCCTTGTGACTACAGAGTCACAAATGTGGGTATATACACAGTGGTAAATGACAGCCCACTCCCTCCCTCCTCCTCCACGCCTACTAACCAACTAAACACAATAATGGTGGAATATTACATCTTGATTGATTGAGGCTTTACCTACCTGTTATTCTAAAGCAGAAATCCAGCTACACCATGTTATTGCCAAAAAATAATAAATATTTGATTTCAAATATATATTTATTTGACTATTTAAAAACCATTTATTGACATTGATTATTTATTTTTACCTTTGTATCCCAAAGGCTGTTTTTTTATTTAATTTTTTTAGTTAAAATAATTACAGTGTCATCATCCACATACAGAAAGATAAAGGATAAAGTAAATTAAACAGTGTATGTTCAGTATAATTAGTATCATATTTAAGAGCAAAGAGTCCAGATGAGATCTAATCTATCTTTTGTTACCAAGGAAATTAAATCCTTTATGAAAACAAAACAAGCTAAACAAAAAAAAGAAAAAAAAGGGGGGGGGGGGGGGTTGCAAGAAATGAACTAGTACTACCAAGAGAGGATAGAGGAGGTCTCAACTCCACAGTAAATATGAAACATGGCAAAGGCTATCAAGTACATTCAAGATACATAGATTTTTAATTTAGAGTTCCAAACATGTTCCAAAGCCTAAACATGGCAGCAAGGCTTGGGGTCGAGCACGCAGGTGTGCCATGATAGGAGGCAGTCTCCTATCATGGCACACTAAGAAAAGGAGAAGCAGGGGACCTAGGAAGAGGAGGTTTGGGGCCAATCTGTTCAATGGGATTGCACAGAGCAAATAACGATAACTTTTTTAATTTTGGGTAGAGTAAAGGATATAACTCCTGCCAGTTTTTTTTTGCCATCTTTGTCCCATTGTGGAAATTTCCCTTCACTTCTTGCCCCAATGCTAAAACAAAAAGTGGGAGGAAATCCTTGTAAAGTGAGGGAATCCTGGGTTGTCTCCAGGTCTCCAGAAATAGTGGCCCCACTGGAAGTTTTCAATGATAATGGTAAACAGGACAAATAGAGAAGGTGAATCTCTCTAACGGGGTCACAGACAGCAATCAATCCTGACAGGTTTTCCTTTCCAACTCTACTCTATCCAAAACAACAATTTCCCCTCACTTTCTCTCCCATAGCCAAAAGAGAAAATGAGAGAAAAGCCCACCAAAGTGATGGAATCCCGAGTGTCACCAAAGTCACCAGAACTAGTATCTTTGTTGGAAAACTTTCACTCTATAACAGTTTCAGTATCAACCCAAAATGTAGATTCTTCTTTTAATTTCTTTTTCAATGATAACTGTAAACAGGGCAAACAGAGAGAATGAATCTCCTCAAAGGGGGCACACAAACAGCAATAAAAATTGCCAGGTGTTCTGATCTCTCTCCACTTTATCTAAAACAAAAAAAAAGTGTTGCATTTAGTTATACTTTAAAGTGGAACTTTAGTCAGAAAATGAAGTCCTGCTAGATAACTTCAGACTGGCCCCTTTTGCAGGTATAGCTACTGTATGTAAAACATTAAAAATAAGTGTCTATACTGTTTAAAATCCAGTAATACACTTCCCCACCCTGTTCTGCACATGCTCAGTTGCTCAGTCTTTTAGGCACTGTGCCAAATTTGTATAGGCTGGTCTGCTGACAGTCTAAAGATTTATTGCTGCTCACGAGAAACATTTGGCCAAATGAGTGTAACTTTTCACTTGTACATTGTCTTCTATCACTGGGCAGAGTCTGCATTTAGCTCAGGTCTGTCAGCTTGACTCTCCTCTGCATTTTCAACATTCCTTTTGGATCTTTTAACTTGCTCCCCCATGCACCATCCACAGTGTTATTTTCCTTTGTCATAGTCCATCTTTAACTAGTTGCCGACCGCAGATAGCCGAATGACGGCTGCACTGCGGCCGGCCAGTTTCTGGGTGGACGTCATATGACGTCCTCCCAGAACGCGCTCTCCTGCGCGCCCCAGGGGGCGCGCACCCGGCGATCTCCGTGATCGCTGTGTCCTACGGACACAGCTGATCACGTGATGTGGTAAAAGGCCAATCACAGCGGCCTTTTACCACGTGATCAGCGGTGTCCAATGACACGCTGATCACAGGGAAATGCAAGTGCCGGTTCTCGGCTGCCCTTTCCTCACGCCGTCAGATCGTGAGGAAAGTACTGCCGAGAACCGGCAGTTGTCAGAGCGGGGATCGGCACCGATCATCAGGGCACTGATGATCAGTGCCCTGATGATCGTGCCCAGCAGTGCCACCCGCAAGTTCCGCCCATCTGTGCCCAGCAGTGCGCCCACTAGCTCCGCCCACCTGTGCCCAGCAGATCACCCACCTGTGCCCAGCAGTGCACCCACCTGTGCCACTCTGCAGTGTCACACACCTGTGCCCAGAAGTGCCACCTACCTGTGCCCAGCAGTGCCACCCACCTGTGCCCACCCACCTGTGACCACCAGTGCCACCCACCTGTGCCCACCCACCAGTGCTGCCCACCAGTGCCACCCACCAGTGCAGCCCAGCAGTGCTGCCAGTCAGTGCCACCAGTCAGTGCCCAGAGGTTGTGCCAGTCAGTGCCGCCAGTCAGTGCCCAGCAGTGATGCCAGTCAGTGCCATCTATTAGTACCCATCATCAGTGTCACCTATCAGTGTCACCTATCAGTGATGCATATTAGTGCCGCCTATCCGTGACACCTCATTAGTGCTGTCTATCAGTGCCGCCTATCCGTGCCACCTCATTAGTACTGCCTATCAGTGCCCTTTAGTGCTGCCTATCAGTGCCCATCAGTGCCGCCTATCAGTGCCCATCAGTGCTGCCTCATCAACGCACATCAGTGAAGGAGAAAAAATACCTGTTTGAAAAATTTTATAATAGAAACAAAGAAACTTTTTTTTTTTTCACATTTTTTGCACTTTTTTTATTTATAGCGCAAAACGTAAAGTGACCAGTGGCGATTAAATACCACCAAAAGAAAGCTCTATTTGTGAGAAAAAAATGATCAAAATTTCATATGGGTACAATGTTGCATGACCGCGCAATTGTCAATCAAAGTGCGGCAGCACTGAAAGCTGAAAATTGGCCTGGTAAATAAGGAGGTATAAGTGCCTGGTAGGCAAGTGGTTAAGGAGTAATGTTGCCCACTTTGTTAGTGGACAGTCATTAGTAAACTGTTATTTGGTTGGTAGAAGATATTGTTGCTTTAGTCTCAGAGACTAATCATGTTGTTAATGGTTAACAGTGGTTCTGTTTAGCATTAAAGGTGAGAGTTTAATTCCTAATTAAAACTGATTTAAACCCATTAACCACCTCCTGCCCGCTATATAAGGAAATGATGGGAGCAAGGCGGTTCTCTCGTTCTGGGAGGATGTCATATGACACCCTCCCACTCTAACCGCACGTGCACTGCACAGCACACGGTGATCGGTGGTGCGCTGTGCCCCTCGAACACAGCGGATCACTGTTCAACAGAAAGAGCTGAAGACGTCAGCTCGGCCATGGATCAGCTGTGTCCAATCACAGCTGATTGCATGTAAATAAGGAAATGCCAGTTTTTGGCATATCTCTCCCCACAAGCTGTCACGCTGACAACTCGAGAGGAGAGGAGAGCCGGTAACTGGCATTCCTCAGAGGGGACATGTACAATGATCATCAGGGCACTGATGATCAGTGTGCCCTGATGATCAGTGTAGCCCCAGCAGTGCCACCTACCAGTGTCCATCAATGCCAGCTGTCAGTGCTCATCAATGCCACTTGCCAGTGCCCATCAGTGCCACATCAATGCCACATATCAGTGCCTACCAGTGCACATAAATGCCACATATCAGTGCTCATCTGAGCTGCCTTTCAGTGCCACCTATTAGTGCCAGTCAGTGCCACCTATCAATGCCAGTTAGTGCCACCTATCAATGCTGCCAATCAGTGCTGCCTATCAGTGCGCATCAATGCTGCCTATCAGTGCGCATCAGTGCCACCTATCAGTGCCCGTCAGTGCTGCCTATCAGTGCTGCCTATCAGTGCTGCCTATTAGTGCTGCCTAACAGTGCCAGTCAGTGCCACCTACCAGTGTCATCAGTGCCACCTATCAGCGCCATATATGAGTGCTGCCTTTCAGTGCCCATCAGTGATGCTTGCCAATGCCCATCAGTGCCACCTACCAGTGCCTTCTCATCATGCCACCTATAAGTGCTCATGCACACTGCAGCCTCATTAGCGTACATCAATGAAGGAGAAAAATCACTTATTTACAAAATGTTATAACAAAAACTAAGAAAAAACTTTTTTTTTTCAAAATTTTCAGTTGTTTTTGGTTTGTTTAGCAAAAAATAAAAAACCCAGAGGTGATTAAATACTACCAAAAGAAAGCTCTATCTGTCTCAAAAAAAGATAAAAACTTCATTTGAGTACAGTGTTGCATGACCGCACAATTGTCATTCAAAGTGTGACAGCACTGAAAGCTGAAAAGTGGCCTGGGCAGGAAGGGGTATAAGTGCCCTGTAGGCAAGTGGTTAAAGGGGTCACATCCTAAAATTTTCCAACAACCTTTATCATGTGTTTGTTTTTTATTTAAGTATGTTGTTATAGTATGAGGGATGTTAATGGGATGTAGAGTGCCATGTTTTTTTATGAAAATGTTTGTTTTATATTTAATAAAATTGTGAAGGCAACTTGTACCATGCGCAGCAGTCAGTTGGATTTTGCTTCTGTAAGTACACCTAAAACAGATAGCAATCCTGTGTTTAGTTGTTTAGGAAGGCTGCGTGTTTGCCATGTAAGCCCACCTCTTCCTGATCTCTCTGCCTCCTTCCTGATAGACGACTTCAGTGTCCAATAGAAAGTATCAGGAGCCATGTTTGATCATTAGTTATGAAGACATGTTTCCTGTTTAAAAATGCAAAATACCAGTGATTTACTGCTCATTTCTCCCAATCCAAGTCTTTGGGGTTGGTTTACTGAAGGGAAGTAGGCTGTTCACTTTGCAAGTGAATTTTCCCCAGAACTCAATGAATGTGGTGAAATATCACTTTGCAAAGTATACCCAATCACATGGTTGGATGATGGAAGTCAGTACAAAGCTTCTCCTCAGTAAGCTCTGGGGCAAATTCCCTTACAAAATGTAACTTCTCTTGCAAAGTGTCTAGTTGCCTTTAGTAAATTACCCCTATAAATCTGCTAACTTGAACATGACAAAATGCAGCCTCTACACATTATTTGATTTCTTTTCTGAGCATCTATTCACTAGTCTAACATGCAGATAGTCATTAAAGAGAGAATCAAGCATATGAAATACATTCCTTTTTAAACTATCCTTTAGAAGCATAAGCAGGAAACTTAAGAAATTCTCATTAGATTATGAACTTCAGCTATTTACTAAGGACTTATGAGACATTCCCACTGGAGATATAATCTTGCTGTCATATCTGGGGCTGCCAAAGGACCGCTGCCTAGTTGAACGTGTATATTACAGCTTTCAGGAAAACCTCCCAGGAAGCACTTGTATGAGATACACAAATCATTCTACTGCTATCTTCTGAGTAGAAAAAAAGATGTGGATTGCCTCCAGGTGATTGTAGCCGTATTAGTGCATTTGCGACAGAAACAATTGAGTACTGTCCGTGATACTTTTTTTATTTGCACTAACATACAATTTTGAGGACAAGCTTTCGGGGTATGTCCCCTTCTTCAAAGTCCAAACAGTACTATTACAAATCACAAAGTTTAAGCAGAATGTTAGAAGGTATTGAAAAAAAAAAAAAAAGACTAGAGATAAGATACATCAAAAGCGAGGGGGGAGGATACTACACTCACACAGAGGGGGTCAAGCTTCAGCTAATACATAGTCATAAAACTGTCCGATAATGGTTGAGGAATCCCATGTCCAAGTTAAGGCCGTTATCTTTTGTGTCAAATAGAATTATCATTCTTAGTTCAAATGTTTTTCTTTCCTGGATGGATTTGAATTTTCCTTTCAGAACTAAAACATTGAGGTCTTCCATTGTGTGGCCTGGTTGTGTGAAATGGTGTCCTACAGGTGTGCAGAGGTCATCTTCTTTATGTTCCTTGATGGTATGTCTGTGCAAATTCATCCTTGTTTGCAACTTCTGTCCTGTTTGCCTCCAAAATTCTTCTGGGCTGCTACTCTTTTCACAAACAGTCCTGAGAGAAAAAAAAGTATTTCTGCATACAGCTACAGGTTTCATTACCTATAGATGAGGACATGATTTACTGATAAACTTCAAACCTCTGTCTAGATACACACTCTGCTCCTACGACCAGTAAGACCAGTACAGGGTCCTCTAAACTGTAAACATTTACCAGATCCATGCATCTCTTCACCATGCCTCAACATAAAGACCACTATAATTTATCCAAATAAGAAAAAAAAAACAGTAATAGTATTTCTTATTAAATCAAGTTCCTGCCATGCACAAAGTACCCTGGGATGTGTGATAAAGAAAAAGTAAGAAAGGCCATTGGTCTAATATGTACGGTTCTAAGAAGTGGTTGGTATGTAGAGATTCTTTATGAAATCTTTCTTCATAGGGAGGGAGTGGGACTGGTGAATGTTCATGGAATCTAGCTCAAGTAGATTTCCCAAAGATAAATGGAGCAGACCTGAGCTTGAAGACTTCTTAGGTGAAACAGATATTGTAGCTTAGGACAACGATCCCTTGGAGTGGTCATAACAGGATATTCAAAACAATATGTTTTTGCTTGTTGAGCCCTTTTGCTGGTGGGCCATATAATATGCTGATAATGGTTAATATAATGTTGGGGAGAGTATCATAATGCTGTTGACAGATATTATTATGCTGTAAAATAAATGTTGGTGCAGCGCTAAGAAAATATATGGGAATAACCAATCTCAGTTTTAAAAACGCATGTAGGTGATAAATGCGCTTTGCTTACAATATGTAATAAAATGGTAATTGAAGTCTAAAAGTAAATAAAAGTGCAGGTGTCTACAGAAAACGCATAATCGTGACATGCGTAGTGATCATTGAACGTCCATGAACTCTTTAAATCTGGTGTACTCTCCAAGTGATTTCCCAGTATAGTCCCAGTATACTTACTCTCCTTAGGTGGGTGTGCTAATCAACATACAAAATGAGCACTCACCAGATGCGCTAATAAAAAGCGCGTTGTGTCATATACTCCTGGTCATTCACGGGTCCATTAGGGGTAGTCCGGGATGTAGCCTGGGGGTAGGTGGTCTCCCTTAGGTGCCAGGATATGATGGCCAATACAAATGGCTCAGCCTCTTCAGGACGCTGGGACATTCACTGGAGATGATGCTAAGGGATTTAAGGAAGTTCCAGGTGAGAGGTGAGGCGGGAGGAAGTAGAGAGGAGACGTTGGTGGAAGTGACAGCAGAGGAGCACCTTAAATCCCTTAGCACCATCTTCTGCATGTCCTAGACATTTTAGTATGCTTGAAATCCCTGCTTGCTTCCCTAAAATAAAACCTTGTACTTATTTCTAAGGCTTTTCTACACGTGAAATTTTTTGGATCTGGACCAGGATAAACATTCCAATGATCAATTACAAGTGGCTGTTATCTGTTACATTTACTTCATTTGTTTACCTCTAAATTCTAAAAATCGGTCTTCTACCTGACACTTTAATGTAGACTTTTAGGAACTGTGGCATATTTAGGAATATGCCCCAGCCCATAGACATTTAGAAACTGTTGACACTTCATACAGATCTTTGTCCCTGTACTCACCCATTATAGCAGGGTGAAACTTCAACAATGTACTGAGTCTGAGCAATATGAAGACTGGCCCATTTCCCACTAAACCTATCTCCATTTACAAAGATGTTATGACAGGTGCAAAACAGTGCCCTTCTCTACATATTGGACAGGAGTACAAACATCTCTGCTACAATAACTCATATGTCTTCTCCCATGGCTTGTTTTCACTAACACTGGAGTAAAGAAAATTCCTATATAAGTGAAACTGTTGCTGTTAGCAATTATTTAGGTTAAAGATTTAATTTCATGCAGTTATTAAGTATGAATTTTTGTATATGCATACCTTGATAGTTTTCATCATATTTTCATAAGTTATTTAATCTACAGTGGAATGTAGAAACAATATAGTTTTGAACCTTTTGAAGTTCCCATATTGAGGGGGGTTTCTTGGTGGTAATTTTGTTTAAAAAAAGTTTTATTGATTTTGTGAACATAAAGTACAAGTAAAACGATACAGATAGAATGTATAAAGTGACACAAAGAAACCATAAGTCAAGAAAGTAAAGGGCTTTAGCAAAAATGGTAATATCATTATGGCAATATTATGGTAGGCAATCAATATATAAAGAGCAATATTTGTAGTAAATACCTAGTTATAGAGAGAGAATGTTAGGAAAAGCAATGGAAAAAAAAAAAAATAAATAAGAATGAAGAAAGGGAAGTAGAAGGGAAGGAAATGGGTTAGTGACAGAGTGATGCTGCTTTTGAAGATCTGTATTGAAGCTCTGTGTTTATCAGAAAGAAAGTAATGAACAATCAATGTTAAGGTTAGCAGTGTAATCCAACCATGAAGACCATGTTTGTAAGACGTGTAAGACGTAAAACGAGAGATTGTCAATTAAGGTAGAAGTACATTTTTCTTGAATCATAGTTCCTGTGATTCTCTGCTTTACATCTCTAGAGATCAGGGATGACTGTTTCCAAGCTTTAGCAATGATCTGGCATGAAGGATATCAGTTTTCTTTCTGATTTTGTAAGGTTCAAATTGGGTCTATGAAGCAAATTGTCATTAACAACCCCTTAATCCAGAACCCCATTCTGGGGTTCTGGATTAAGGGGTTATTAATCACAATTTAAATCGTATTATATACCCATATCCATAATCTCTGGACTGTGGGGTATTGTCACCAAATATGAAATAGTATGCCCTTGTCATTTCATCCTCTGAAACAAGGTGGGAGGCCTAGGGAGAGAATTGTGCAAATTGTACAGGAGTCATGTACCAGTGGAAAAGTGAGATAAAGCATTAATGGAACAATAGGCTGTAGAATAGGCTGTAGCTAACCAAATTTTACCCCATCCCGTAATGTCCCGAGATTTCCCCAGATCATGTTCTCAGTCAATGATATATTTAAGTTTTAAATCATTGTGAAGAGAAACCTGAGCTGTACATAAGAGAGATATAAGACCAGGTGAGCGGGGATTATTGTATAACAAACCCCAGCGCACAGGAAAAAACCTCCAAAGGTTTAATAATGGTATGGATTGCTGCTGCGCACAGGTATAATAAACCAATTAGTAAAAGAAATATAAATAAACAGTGCAAATTAAAACCCCCTCACTAAATGAATAACATAAATCAATTCCATACAGTGTATAAATCAATATAAAAATTAAATAATAATAAAGTGTCCCAAAATAAATATCTAAAGTATTTAAATCATAATAAAGTGTCCAAAAAAATTATAAAATTAAAAATTAAATAAATAAAAGTCCTTTCTCCCAAATAGATTGTGTATTTAAAAAATTATTTCTCCAAAAAGATTGTGCTTCCACCATCCACCAGTGAGAAACCAACATCAAGCGCACTCACCAGATGATGGTGAGTAATGCGCCTTTTAGGATTTTTGGGATCCTAAACCCCCATTATAGCCTCCAGGACTCCTTTCCACCATATAAGATTTAGGATTCTCCTTCCACTTGCTCCCGCCTTCTCCTTCCACCAAACTCCACGGCAATGCAAGGGAAAAAAATCAAAAATAGTATAATACTGCTATTAACCCTGTGCAGTACTATTAAAAATACCAGACCACTCACATTTCAAAGGATGAATAAAAGCATTAATTTATTGCCTCCATCAATTCCAAGGCTTCCACAACCCCATATCAGAGACTTCACAGCCTGTTTCTGCAGAGGATGACAGGATACAGCTCCAACAAACATTAAATTTGGGTATTTGGAACGCACTGCTCGGCGTGCGTTCCACTCACCGGAAGTGACGTGGGACGTAAGGACGGCAGATCGGAAGTGCGTTGACGTGTTTCGCCCCTCCCACAGGGCATTCTCAAGACCTAGTCTTGAGTCTTGAGAACGCCCTGTGGGAGGGGCAAATGTTGATATATGTTTTGTACCCAGTGTGACTCCAGTCTCATTTAGGGTTTTGAAGTCATATTTTTTTTCCTCTTTGTAATCATATATGGTTGTTATTAGCAACTCAACATTTGTTCTAATTTTGTTTTCTTAAATTTTAATGAGCCATAGTCTCTCTAACTGTACAAAAATTATTAAAAAAAAACTCAAAGCACACCCTTTGCTGAGGAAGTGATGTTTTGGGATAAAAAAAACTGTCATAAGATGTAAAGGTAATAAGAAAAGAAAAAAGTTCTTATTTTATGAGCCAAACAGGATCTAGATTAATTAGCTGGCACACAGCACGGAGGAAAATGTGCCAAGTCCTGAATATGTTATCATAGGGGAAGCAGTATTATCTGTCAGAGTGAATTGAATGTATAATAGGAAAATAAAAGTGGAGCATTAGTAAGTAGGGAGAATCCTGGGTGTCATTGATGCCTGGTAGATGATTGGTCAATTTGCACATCAATGGCTGGCAGTATACAATTGAAAACAAATAGCACAACTAAGCAGAAATACAACTCATTTAGATATGTGACACATTAGAATTTAATGTTAGCTAAACAATTCTTTTCCAAATGATATAATTATATGTACAGTATACAATGTAACAAACAAAATACAATGTGCCATGAGGAACTGCTCTACACTGACAAAACGAAGGGCTTTGTGAATATTCTAGGCACATAGATGCAGTAACACATAGCAACTAATTAGCACACATTTATAATTATTCTCACTGCAGAGTAATCTCTGCTACTCAATATATTTGTTGCATGCAGAGCTGTGAATGTTCACACCTACATTCTCCTGGATGAACAATTGTCTCTCTGGAGAATGCATTTATATATTTGCTTTATTTATCAATGCATGCTTATTAATGACCATCTGTGTTCTCCATGACATGTTACAAAACTCAGCAAGGGGAAAATTACCATTGGAGGATGAAATTTAGATTTATAGAGGGTTTTTTATTAATATGGACTGATAAAAAATACAATTTTATCCTGGACTCTGAGAACTCTGAGCTGATCTTGGGTGCTACATCAGATGTCTGTGAGCACATTAACACAAGTTTAAAGTGATTTAATTTATTTTTTTTTTAATGGCAAACATGTTCAACTTATCCAAAACCATTGCACAGAGCAGCCCTGTTCCTCTTTTTGGGTCCCCCATCAATGGTCCTTGCTCCTCCCCCCTACCGTATGCCCCCAATAGTAAGCCCCCAATAGCAAATAGCAAGGGAGGCTAAGGGGGGAGTTACACCCAGAAAGTTTTTTACCTTAATGCATAGAATGCATTAAGTTAGAAAAAAATGTGCCTTTAATATTGAGTATTCAGTAATGGCTAGTAGGACTTTGTAACCTTTAGGTAGTATAACTGAATAACTATGGCTGTTCAATGCTGTGTAGAAAGTTGACACACTAACTACAGTACATAAGTAAAAAATGACAATTCAATCATATTAGACACTTTATGAAGATTATTCACAATGGTTGCATGCATGTCTCACCAATTATTTAAAATTATTTATTCTGGCCATTGTAATGAATTAATGCTCATGCTCCAAAAATGCCTAGGGTTAACACACTTTTACACGCTTTTACACGTCAAGCATTTTTTTTTTTACTAAAACACTGCTGCTCCTGGATGCACTGGTAGTGTTTTCCTTTCTGCCTCTAAACGTTCTGCCTCTAAATTCCTCTAAACACCTATGTATGCATGGACACATAGTCTAACATGCAGAAGCATTTAGAGGCCAGATGCCCCAAAGACAAGCATCAAAAATGTCCATTGTGCATTAGGCCTTAAAGTTGAGCAGGGTGTACTTGCTGAGATTCTGTCTGTTAATGGCATTGTACACTTTAAAATGTTTTTGTTGATTTGTTTCCCTTACTTTGTAATGATGGGCTTACATGTTGTGGCAGCAGTTTGTAATGTCATGGCCAGTTGATTCCCTTATGCCAATGTATTCCTTCACCTAGCCTGTCCCTATTAACTAAAGGGACAGGCAACTTATTTTGCTGGGTCATATAGCATTCAGTCCACGCCTCACCATTTCTCTGTAGCCTGTAAACAGACTTGGAGCACCACTCAAAGCTAAGAGGGAACTAATCCCTCTTATTCTCAGAGATAGGGGTGCCAGCTTTACCATTCATCCATCCTGCAGTGATAGATCCTCATGTAAGAAGCCACACTCCCAGCCCAATAGAAGTGTGAATATCAATGTGAAATGATCTTAGACAGCTCTCCTCAGGGGCGGACTGACCATTTGGAAACTTGGGCACTGCCCGAGGGCCCGGGGTCAGTAGGGGGCCCCATGAGATGCCCCTGGGACCTTTTTCATAGGCTTTTTTGAGTTTGGGCAAGGACACAGGGGCCCCATGATCCCCTATTGCCCGGGGGCCCCATGAGTTTTCAGTCCTCCCCTGGCTCTCCTACATAGGCCATGTCATGTCACCCCCCACCCACTAGGCCCAGTCATAGAGGTCTCTATGATTAGATCCCAGTGAGCAGTTTGAATCACGTCAGAGGAAGTGGCTTATGTAGGAGAGCTATTTAAGGCTGTTTCACATTGATATTCACCATTTCTCTGTGTTTGCATTACAAATGTGGGAGTGATAATGTGATGAAAACACATCTTATCCAAAATGATGATATCCCTGTCAATTGCTCTACCTGTGTGTGACTATTAAATCTAATTATTATTTAACTCTCATCTGCACCAATGTTAGACAGAGAGACCCAGGGATTGTGATATGTGTAGGTTCTTCACAGGAAGTGTCAGTTCTTAGACTACCGCAGAGGTAATGCATTTAACGGTGCAGTGCATTCAGACATCCTCATGTTTGAACAAAAACAGAAAACAGAAACTTCTGACACAATGTGAAGATTTACTTTACTATAAGCTTTGCATACAGATGACACCATGACAACTACATGATCAATTCACATCTTATGCAGGTGAAAAACACAAGGTGCAGTTATGAAGGTTTATAATACATTTAAACTAAATCTGACAAACTAAAACTATTTCTCAGTTTTTGATAGTGTACAGTGTGGTTAAAAAAAATTTTTTTACCCATTGCTAAGATGTTTCTTCACTTTTCCTTAGACATAACAGCAGGTAAAACAAAGGTAAAGAAAATCAGTCTAATACACTGCTCAAAAAAAATTAAAGGAACACTTGAAAACACATCGGATCTCACATCGGTCTGACAATGAGTCCAAGGATTTCAACCCGATAACTTATGGTAGTCAGGGTGCCATTGTCTAGCATGTATAGGACTGTGCGTCCCTCCATGGATATGCTTCCCCAGACCATCACTGACCCACCACCAAACCGGTCATGCTGAATGATGTTACAGGTAGCATAAGATTCCCCACAGTTTCTCCAGACCCTTTCACATCTGTACATGTGCTCAGGGTGAACTTACTCTCATCTGTGAAAAGCACAGGGTGCTAGTGGCAGACCTGCCAATTCTGGTGTTCAGTGGCAAATGCCAATCGAGCTCTATGGTGCTGGGCAGTGAGCACAGGGCCCACTAGAGGATGTCGGGCCCTCAGGCCACCCTCATGAAGTCTGTTTCTGATTGTTTGGTCAGAGACATTCACACCAGCGGCCTGCTGGAGGTCATTTTGTAGGGCTTTGACACTGCTCATCCTGTTCCTCCTTGCACAAAGGAGCAGATACTGGTTCTGCTGATGGGTTAAGGACCTTCTACAGCCCTGCCCATCTCTCCTACAGTAACTGCCTGTCTCTTGGAATCTCCTCCATGCACCTGAGACTGTGCTGGGAGACACAACAAACCTTCTGGCAATGGCACATATTGATGTGCCATCCTGGAGGAGTTGAACTGCCTGTGCAACCTCTGTAGGGTCCAGGTATCGCCTTATGCTACATCATTCCGACTTTGTCAAAGGGATCCACCTAGTTCAGCCAATATAAAAAGATTAAATGAATAGAATAAATAAATAAATAGAAAATTCCATATGCAAAATCCTATATGCACAGTTGATGCAGGGGAAGGAAAAAGCATGATCCAATTTGCTCCAGTGAGGGAAAAACAAATCATGTCCTGATCCTCCAGAAGGCAATTGGATATTCCCTGGACTGACAATCTCTAGTGTTATTACTTATACATGTTAATATCCAGGTATATTTTGTGCATTTAGGAATGCATCCAGCTCTTTTTTTAAAACAATCTTCTGAGATGACCAGAACCAGTTCTTCGGTTCCACAGTTTCACAACTCTAACTGTGAAGAAGCCTTTCCATATTTGAAGGTTTTATCTCTTTTCCTCCAGTAAAAAGTTCCACTCTGTCCTTTGCAATGACCTGAAAGTGAATAACTCAACACCAAATTCACTATATGGACCACTTATATACTTTATACAAAGTGATCATATTTCCCCTTAATTGCCTCTTCTCAAAAGAGAATAAATTCAGTTCAGCTAATCTTTCCTCATAACTGATCTCCTCCATGCCTCTTATCAGTTTGGGTGCACTTTCTCCAGTTCTCCATTATCCTTTTTATCAACTGGTGCCCAAAACTGAACTGAGGTCTTACTAATGATTTGTACAGGAGCAAAATGATGTCTCTTTCTCTGCAGTCTATATCTCTCTTAATAAAAAAAAGTATTTTCTTGCTTTAGAAACTGCAGTTTAGCATTGCATGCTGTTAATAAACGTATGATCTACCAGAACATCTAAATTCTTCTCCACCATTGACTCCCTCAGCTGTTCTACCGTATTATATGTGATGTGTGCCCCCAAGTGCATAATTTTACATTTATCAACATTAAACCTCATTTACCACACAGTTGCTCAATTGAGCAGTGCTTTGAGGTCTCCATACATATGCTCCATATTATTAGAGATGGCTTAATGATCTGTCCAGCTTATTGCATGCCAGGTTCTTATGTATGTAACATAGATCCATTTCAGAAATTCTTTATTTACATAATACCTTCTATATAACCTTTGTGGTTTGGTATGTTTTGTGAGTTTTACTACATTTGCATGGCTATATTATTATGGTTCCTTTTGGCTATAATATTATGGTTTCCTCCACCAGCCATAGTTTATGGTCTTTGAAGGACTGGTCAGGTGAAACACTTGTCTTCATATGAAGTGCATGCTAAAATTTCTTACACCTTGGATGAGCTAAGGCACGTTGCAAATTATAGATTCTATTTCAAATGCTGCTGTACAGTATGCATTGGCATATATTCTTAGATGCAGTCTATCTGGACAATACGATCCCCTGTGGACTTGGCACCATCCACAGGCAGCCTAATTTCTAAGTAAGACACAGAGGCTGAATCCAACACAATTTGGCTAATTGCACTACAGAGGATGTTTTTTTCAGTCTTTTGAAGTATAAGAAGACAATGACTTTGAAAAACTAACATTGACTGAAGGAACATGGAAAAAGTGGGTAGGATCTAGCTAGGACTAAATTAACTAGCACTAAATAGGGGGAGGGGGCGAGGATAGAGGAACATACCAATGTCACATTAGTAATAAACTGCAGTGGCTCCAAACTGCCACTGGATGTAAGCATACTGCTGAACAATTCTAATGTTGTGCAGTTCAATATAACACAGAAAAATGACATGAAAGTGGGGCAAAACATTGTATGAACTATTAACCGCTTCCCATCTGCCCATTGCCTATAGATAGCGTACAGGAAGCAGTGTTGATGCGGGCTAATGTATCTATACATCAACCCAAATTGGTGGCTCAAGCGTTGCTTATATAGAGTGCACTCCCGGGAGCCCTGTGATCTGAGTGTCACCGGGACACAGCGGATCACATTACCACTGTGTCTGGTTGATCACATTGTGTTTTTCCATGTGATTGATGTGTCCAATCACAGCAATCACATAGTAAACAGTAGAGGCTGAAAGCAAACATAGGTTCTCCCTGCTCTCACTGTGAGAACAGAGAGAGGCGTTGCTGCAGTGAGTCTACAACAGCCTGTCATTCTGATTGTACACTCACATAGTGCAGTGCCAGCCACCCCAGTGTCCCTGATCACTGCCCAAGTGTTCCAGATCACTGCTCTAGGGAAGTCCTAATAAGCAATGCAGCCACCACCTGTCATTTGTTGCAGTGCTCACAAACACACTGCCATACACCATACCAATGTCCTCATGATCGCCATACCAGCATCCTGACAACCGCCATACTCCATACGAATGCCATGATCACTGCCATATGCCATACCAGCACCCTGATCACCGCTATATGCTTACCGGCACCCTGATCACCACCATACACCATTCCGGAGTCCCGATAACTGCCATACACCAAACCAACATCTTGATCACCACCATAGCCCATACTAGCATTTTGATCACCCCATATGCCATACCAGCATCCTGATTACCTCCATACCCCATACCAGCGTTCTAATCACCCCATATGCCATACCAGCATAGTGAAAACCACCACACCCCATACCAGCGTCTTAATCACCGTAATACCCCATAACAGCATTCTGATCACCCCTTATGTCAAACCAGCGTCCTGATCACTGCCTGCACCATACCAATGTCCTGATCACTGCCACACAGTGTCCTAATCAATGCTATACCCCATACCAGCATCCTGATCACTGCCATACCAGTGTCCTGATCACTGCCATACCAGTGTCCTTACCACTGCCATACATCATACTAACGTCCCTGATCACTGCCATACCTCATACCAGCATTCTGCATTTTAGGGACTCTACTGATCAATTTTCAGATATATATACCTTAGTTTGCAGACTCTATAACTTTTACACAGACTAAATAATATATACTGTTTTGGGTCATGTTTACCTAAAAATATAGCAGAATACATTTTGGCACAAATTTATGAAGAAAGATTATTTATTTGTAAACTTTTATAACAAAAACTAGCAAAAAATGCTTTGTTTTTTCAAAATTTACAGTATTTTTTATTTATACAGCATAAAATATAAAACCCAGTGATGTTCAAATGCCACTAAAAGAAAAGTCTCTCTGTCTCAAAAAAATGATTAAAAAGTTCCTATGCGTACATATGATATTTGTGACAGCGATAAAAATTTGGCCTGGACTGGGAGGGGTTGAAAGTGTCCAGACTTGAAGTCATTAAAGTAGATTTTGCATCAACCTCTTGCCGTCCAGCGTATGTCGATAAATGGCTGGACAGTAGCATTACCGATGCAGGGGGATGTTTCTAAATGTCCCCCCACATCCATTGATTGTGCACACTCCACTGGACACAGCGGAACATAGATCACTGTATGGGGACGCTATGTGAGGTCCCAATTCATGTGATCACTGATTGGCCAATCAGTGATCACATGAACAGTAGTAAACAAGATGTCACTTCCTGACATCATTGTTTACTACTTGTGAATTCAAAGGTCACATGGGACAAGGCCATTCACAACAGCCTTGTCCCATGTGATAAGTTCTGACCAATTACAGCTCTCACAGTATTTTTCAATGGATGCAGGAATGCAGCCAGATAGAAGAAGTGATTGCTTTTACAGCCTTATGGGTGTAAAAGCAATCAGTGAAAAAAAAATCTTGATCACCTCCCACAGGTAGTACAGCATCACTGTGATGACACTGTACTGCTAGGGTGATGGTATGTAAATAAAAAAGAAAGAAAAAAGAAAACATAAATAATAATATAAAAAATAAAATAAAAATGTAAAAAAATTTAGAAACATTATAATTATTTTTCTATACTCTGATTTGTGTTTTTTTAAGAAAAGGGCAGCAGAATACATTTTGGACAAGATTTATGAAGAAAGATTATTTATTTGCAAAATTTTAAGAAAAACAAGTTTTTTCAAAATTTTCATTTATATAGCAAAAAAATAAAAACCCCAGAGGTGAAAAAATACCACCAAAAGAAAGTTCTATCCGTCTCAAAAAATGCTAAAAAATTTCATTTGGGTACAGTGTTGCATAGCCACGCAATTGTCATTCAAAGTGTGACAATGCTGAAAGCTGAAAATTGGCCTGGACTGCAAGGGGATCAAAGTGTCTGGACTTGAAGTGGTTAAATATACTGTATGTTGTCATGGTATGTGCATGCATGCTAATAATGTGTATGTACCACAGTAATCTTTCTCTGTCTCTGATCTTTTGGGTCTTGTTTGCTGAGGCATTATCTAGAGTTAGTGTTAACTTTCTGAACTTAGTTTGACTGCATTGATAGGCCGCCCTGTTCCTGTTTTTATGTATGTGACTTATATGTCATTGTTCTACCTTTAACTTCTCCTGACTTTGCTTTACCTCTGTTTCCTACAGTACACAAATTCTGATATTATCTCCCGGTGTCACGATGTACCAGACCAGGGGTGGACTGACAACTCATAGGGCCCCCTGGGCAATAGGGGATCATGGGGCCCCTGTGTCCTTGCCCACACTCAAAAAAGTCTATAAAAAAGGTACCAGGGGCATTTCATGGGCCCCCTACTGACCCTGGGCCCTCGGGCACTGCCCGAGTGCTCGAATGGTCAGTCCGCCCCTTACCAGACTATGGACATTCAATTATTTATACATTGTTAGCAGCTAGCAAATTACCTTTTAAGCAAGCCCTTACTGACCTCTGTAGCAGCAGGCATTGTGGAGAAATGCATCTTCAAAATTCATTACAAAAGCAATATAATCACACCTTCACTTATTTTCATTGTGTAAGGCCTGGTTTGCATTTTGCACAAACTCAGAACAGACCATTTAACATGGTTTCCTATGTGACACGTTCACTTCTATGTGTTTTTACATAGGGTCAATGACTTTTTATCCTGCAGCAGATTGCAACACACATAGGTGTGAACCAGGCATTATGCATTTTTTGGTGCTTTTTGCAGAAATGCACTACAATCCATTTAACATAGTTTCATATGGGACATGTTCACATGATGATTTTTTCAGCCTTTGTGTTTTTGGAAAGGATCAGGGACTTTTTAAAATACAAAACTGCTCATTTTTGGTTCAATAGACTTCAATGGAGATGCTGCAGAAAAGCGTGTAGTGTGTTTTTGATGAGTGTTTAATGCATTTTGCATCTATTAATCTGCCCAACAACAAATTGGCCATAAAACCAAAAATGCAAGAAAAACACAAATGCATAAAAAAGCATGCCAAAAACACATGTGGAAAAACACAAAACGCACCACAAAAAGCACTGCAGAAACTGATCAAAAGCAAACTGCATAGGTGTGAACCTAGCCTTACAGTACCTCTAGGATCCACATCTGTACATCCAGAGTCAGCAACCTGGTGAAATTTGCCAGCAAAGTAGCCCAGGGCCCACTAGAATTCCAAGACCAAGATACCACTTAGACTCTGAGCTTCAGGTGAGTCTGCATCAACTGCCAAGTTATTTCTATCAAGTGTTTGGCTCATGTTTGCAGCTTGGCCCTATTTACTTACATGGGCCACATTTGGTAGCGGCACTGTCTACCAAATGCAACATGCTGTATAATTTTTGATGTGTCATGAAAAAAGCATAGCAACCAAGGCAATATACACATCACCCCTGGATGCTGTTGCACAATTTAGGAGTTGCTGTCGGGGGGAGAGTGATAAAACTGTGGATGAACTGCCAGTTTTTACCACCCTCTGTGTGAATGAGGCCAAAGCTGTAACCAGCAAAATCGGGATTAGAAGGCAACAAATCACTTTCCCAAATCAGCAACATCTGCTGTGAGCTTGGAAATTAATGTTCTAGCTTCACGGATAAAGACAAAACCTACAATTTGTGATACGAAATGAGGCTAACGCAAGGATTTATTATAGTGACAAAAATTAGCATGTGCTTATTTTTAGACCATAATCAGTGTTACCCAGAAAGGGAATTCTGCATATTTGTAATCCGCCTTGCCGTTTACTCTTGGTTATGACCTATTCTTAAAAAAAGAATATAGACTCACAGTAAAACTTACATTATAGGAACTATAATGGTACATTACTGTACATTTAACAGACCTACTTTATATTAGCTATCATTCCTCTAATTACTGGTAAGTAAGTCCCATGCATATTTCTTTTTTTTATTTAATTTGAGAAATAGCTCCATTAAAATAAAAATGGTGACCATTCTCAGCTTAGAAAAGCTGTATTAATGAGCAGCAGAGAACAGGAACAGAACAATTCCCCATTCTGACAGATACCGCATTAGGAAGGCACGTTTAATAGGATGGCACGTTTAATCCTCCGAACAATGGCAGATACATCTTTCAAACACTTTAAGTGCAAACATGAGCTCATGTTACATTAATCTGAAACAATGTTACCTTAGGATTGAGGACAATTAATGTAGACGTGGCGTACAGTACAATTTATTATAATATGATTCAAGCTAAAAGCTTTCTCTGCAAGTATTGTTCTTGGTATTAGGAACATTATGCATTATGATGATATAACTAAGCTTGACAGAAGCTGCTAACCGTCCTACAGACATTTTTTAAGAGCATAACAGGAAGTCATTACATCTGTGTAATCCAGCAAACATTACCAGCGTGATATCCGAAGCTGTAGGTACAATATGCAGAATAAAATGTTGGATTCTAGCATAATGTCTATTTCTGGGAAGTTTTTTGCTCATGCAGCACACGTGTTCAAAATAGACTAATTCCAAAATTTTGAAAAAGAATGAAGCAGGAGCCAATTTATAAATTATAATTGAACAGGTGCAGAGACCCCCTCCTTCTCTTCGCCTTGTCCTTGGCACTGCGCACATCCAGGGCAGGTGAGAATTAGGAAACATTCTTTGTGATGCCATATCTGTTCTCCTGGTTTATAAAGTCCAAGTTGTGCCTGGCAGTGAGCATTTTTGTCACTCCCTATCACTGAGACCATTTTCTTCCTTTTCATTCTGACACCATTTGGACTTGATGTGAAGTGACTGTTTGCTGTCTGACCCCACTTACATATTATGGACCCTGAGAACATTCAGGGTAATATAAATATTATAGCACCAACAGTTTGTGCAACACTTTAAAATATAAAAGGAGACAACAGAGTTACCCTACTGGGGTGGGTCCTGCTTGTGAGAGCTTATAATCTAATAAGGAGGGGCAAGTGGTAAAAAGGCAATAACTGTGCTTGGATAAGTTTATGATGAAGGAAAAGTTTTTTTGTTAGGCAGAGGCGGGATAGGCTACTGTGAAGAGATGAGCTTTCAGGGAATGCCTAAATGTGGACAGAGTAGAATATAGCTGGACAGATTGGGGTAGAGAGTTCCAGAGGATAGGTGAGGCTCTGGATAGGTCCCGGAGAAAAGCATGGGAGGAGGAGACAAGAAAGCCTGAGAGAAAGAGGTCTTTAGATATGCAGAGAGTACAATCCAGGTTGTCTTTTGAGACTGGTGATGTATCTCGGGGCAGAACTGTCAATGGTTTGTATGTTGTTGTTACAGAAACAATTGAGTACTGTCCGTGTCACTTTTTTATTTGCGCTAACTTACAATTTTGAGGACAAGCTTTCAGGGTATGTCGCCTTCTTCAAGGTCCAAGCAGTACTACTTTACAAAGTTTTAGCAGAATGTTAAAATCAATGTTGACAGGGGGAGAAAAAAAAACAGAAAAAGACACACACAAACAAATGTACACAGTATGTTGTTGTTAGAATTTTTAAATGTATTTGTCATTGGAAAGCCAGTGGAGGGATTGGCAGAGTGGAGTGCTGACACTGAGTGGTTGTTAAGGTAGGTAAGTCTGGCAGTATTATTCATGGTAGATTGAAGGGGAATAGCCTGTGTAGAGGTAGACCAATGAGGCGGGAGTGACAATAGTCAAAATAAGAAAAAATAAGGGAGTGATTGAATAGGTTGGTGGCTTCATTTGTTAAGAAGGGGCATATTTTGAAAGTGAAGGGAGCAAGGTTTGGACAGTGATTGGATTTTTGGGGTGAAAGTCCAGGAATACACCTAGCAACTTGGCATGTCAGGAAGGACTGATAATTTTACTACTGATCTTCATGGAAAGTCAGAGCAGAGGGCACAGGGGGGAGGAAGAGGGATATTATGAGCTCAGTTTTAGAAAGATTTAGTTTTAGGAAGTGGTGTGACATCCAGTTAGTAAGTCAGTAACGCCAGAGGAGACTGAAGGGATGAAGTGAGAAGTAGAAAGATGGGTTTGGGTGTCATCGGCATAGAGGTGAGATTGAAAGCCATGGAATGTTATCAAGTGGCTAAGGGAGGAGGTATAGAAAGAAAATAGAAAGGATCCAACAACAGTGGGGGGGGGGACCACAGTGTAAGCATTAAAATCCAGACAGATGTACTCCAAATGTATTAGTCTTTATTAAATTTTAAAAGGCAACATATACAGCAACCATGGCGATTGAAAAAAAAAAGTTCTTTGCACTGTCAGCCCTTAATAATGACTAAGGAGTCATGAATAAGCACTGACATAGTAAGAAATCATCAGATTTCTCTCAATCCCCACAGTACCATGGTTGCTGTATATGCTACCTTTTAATGCTTAAAAAAAGATGGATAAATTTGGAGTGCTGCTGTCCAAATTTTGATGCTTATACTGTGTTCAGTGTGATGAGCTGAGCTCACACACCCAAGTAGGAGCTGTGTGTGATACTGTGGTGGCAAGCTATCTTGGAGCAGCGTTACACTGAGCAGTGGGGGGACCCCTACAAAAATAGGTAGTGGAGAGGAGATAATAGCGTTGAATGTGACACTAAAGGAGTGCATCAGTAAGTAGGAGGAGAACCGGGAAATTGCAGAGTCTTGAAGGCCAAGGAAGTGGAGTTTTTTTGAGGAGGAGCAGCTTGTAAACTGTATTCAAGAAAACAGAAAGGCCTGATGTGCATGGAGTAATGGCCATTAGTTTTAGAGGTCATTAGAGAGTTTTAGTAGGGCACTTTGGAGTGTTGCAGGCCAAAACCAGACTATCAAGACAGGTCAAGAAGGTTGTTGTCAGGAAGGTAGCAGCTCACACTGTTGTATATTAGACATTCTAGAAATTTTAGGGGTAAAAGGGGAGCATGGAGATGGGTCTTAAGTTATTAGGCTGAATCTCTCCCTGTATGATTGCAGACATTGCAGCCTTTACTGTGGCAGCACACTCATTTGTGTTGGTTGTGAAAAGTATGTGGGTACAGCTCCTACCAAAATCTGATGACTTCCTTGAAATCCTGTGACACAATGAGCCAAACAATTGTAATGATATCAAACTTTTTTCAGCAGTTACGTCATTTTGAAAATAAGAACAGTTAGTACAAACAGAGAAACAAGTTCAACTGTTAAACCACAAATTTGGCATTTGTACAGCAACAGAAAATGTATTATAGTGGTTCACTTCCCCTAGTTAGCTAAGTAAATTATAATATGAGTGCCAAACTTGTCCAATGGTGAGCTCATGAGTCTGCATCGGGGTCTTTAATAACTGTGTAGTAAACAAATTAATTCCCAAGGATAAAAAGTAGCAACTGGTGTATGTCCACTTAAAACACTCCACATTGAAATAGGTAACAGGCGTACTGTCTCTGGTAAGATGATCCACTCTCTA